ATTTTAATTCATGTTCAACAATTTTAATTCTATTTTGTTTTAATGATCGGTCATTTAATCTGATTTTGGGAAAAAACACGATGTTTAATCCTCAGGTTGAGCTCAATTTCAGATAAACTCAGTTCACTTACTCAGATCCTTATTGATACTTGAAATCATCCATAGTTACCCTTTAAAGCTCACAACAGTATCAAAATCTCAAATGAAATATCACAAAATTTGCAAAACAATAATAGAACAGTGTCCCAATGTCCTTAATTAGCAAATGCTTCAGAGGTCCATCAGTGATGTGTACTGAGTTGCACAGGTTTCCCCCAAAGTTCAGTCAATCAAAAATAAAAAGTTCCTTACCTTCCAGACCTTCATGTAGCAGTGAGTTTAGGATGAAGATGAAACCTTGCGTCGTCCTGACAGCGGTCTTAGAGGAAACTGGCTCGCCATTCAGTTCTCTGAAGTTGAAATCCAGACTCCGGGATCTTCTCCAGGGGAGGTGAAAACCTGGCCTGTAGGACAGGCCATGAGGGATTTTTTAGTCCATTTAGCAAAAATAAAATTAATTATTCAAATCAAAATCAAGCCATTTTGCAGGGCCACGTGACTAAAGAAAAACACAAAATGGCAGCTGCTCTCTCAGCTTACCCACCTGCAACTCACCACCAAACTGCCTAGATTTTTACACAAATTAAACACAAATGGTAAAAATAAAAACACACAGAGGCATTACATGTTGAAAAAAAAGGCTAATTACTTGTTAACATCGATTTATGCTCTCTGTTAATAAGGCAGTGTTTAAACAGGCTTAACTGCTTTGATACTAACACACAAAAGTAAGACATTTACAAAAGAAAACTTACCAACACTGGTCCTGTAACAGTTTTTAATCTCTTCTAGCTCACAGCTCTCTTCCATGAAGGAAAGAACCAAGACTTCACCCGAAAATCTTCCATAATTCTCTGATATCGTTGTGCTAACAGCCGCTCTGCTGTCTTCTGCTGTTAGCTTGATGCTTTGCTCAGCCTCGCGGGTGAGGGAGGGGCGCTTTAAAACTTTATTGACAACACAACAGTTTACAACATTGCAAATGAAACAAAAAACATTACTCTATGAACTGATTATAAAAGATCTTCATGCTTATTTATCATAATGTATTTTTTAAACTTTTTTCTTCATTTTTTTACATTTTGATAACATTTTATGAACTGTTAAGATGTACTTGTAGCTGGGGTTACACAAAGGTCAGTGTTGGGCTGTGGGAATGAAGTCAATGGAATGTCCCCATGAAGACTGCTGGACACAGCTGTGTGTGTGTGTGTACTTGTTTTTGTTACCTTTTTAGGACCATTTCTGGTATACACACCTGTCTTGTCAAGACAGTAGTCCTGTTGGGGACCAAAGATCGGTCCTAACATGGTGGAACTCCATTTTAGGATAGGGGGTCAGGGTTAGGCTGCAGAAATTACTGGAAATTAATGAAAGTCAATGAACGGTCCTAATAAGGATAGAAGGTGCAGGTGCCAGGTGTCTCAGCTGACACCTGCACCTTCCCACTCTTTTTACCTGCACACAGGAACCAATAGACAGAGGTGGTGTGAGGAAGCAGAGGGAGTAAATAAAAATCCTTTTTTATTTCATTTCTTATCAGAACAGATAAAGATGATAAAACAGAATTACTGCAGACATGACCTGAATGATTTTATAACAGAGGAGGGAGTGTCAGAATGTGGGCGTGGCTCTGAACTGGAAGAGTTTACACCTGTGGTACTTTATCATTAAAAGTGTTCTTTGGTAGTTAAAAGGCACAAATCAACTTTATATGGTTTTATGTTGATGCAATTAAAGTTTTAAAGTGTAAAGAGCATTTTTTTTTGTTTTTTAATGTAAAAAGTTTTTGTTTGTGTTGATTTGAAACAATAAAATGCAGCAGGTCCACCAGACCATGCCCACTGACTGTGAGGG